CTGCGACACTACGTAGACCGTAGAAGATCACCAGCCTATTGAAAGGGATGTATATAAAGGGGTCATCACACAGCAGAAGAATCGTTGTCGGGCTGATTTAAAATCAACACAAGGAGAGACGCTTTTACCTCTATCATTAAACATGGTTTTAAACATGTGTAAACATGCTCACAACAATAGTGTGATGCGGCAGAACGCCGTCTCCAACAACAGCGAGGGATCAGACGACGACTCAGCCGAGAGTACCCCGCAGCACTCGTAACAGAAATCGAGTATGCTGACGATATTGTATACTGTAGAGCCATTCCGCTAACGGCTTACTGGCACTAACTCGAGAAATGAGTAAGGTAGCCTCGAGAAGTTAACCGCACCAAAACGAAGACCTTGCGAGCGCCCGACTCTTCCAACGACCAAAAGATTCAGTCGAGTGGAACAACCATCGAGGAGGTTGAAAACTTAAAGTACATCGGCTCTGTAGCGGTAAGAGATGGAAGCTGCGATATGGAACTCGAGCAGCGCCGACGGCTGGCATCTGTGAACTTCTGGCGACTTTCTGAAGTGCGACAGGATCGATCTCTCCGGACAGCAACAAAGATCGCCGTACTGAGAATTGTAGTCTTCTCAATCCTGATGCATAGCAATTAAACATCAACCCTTTTAAAGCGCCATGAAAAGATGTTGGACATTTTCTGCAGCGCTGTCTGTCGGATATTCTCAAAATGCTATGGTTCCATCGAAGAAAGAACGAGAAGATATTGGAGAAAACCGGCCTGAGAATGCTGTCTGAAGAAACCAGGGACCGACATATGCCGTAGTTTGATAGAACCATCTAGAGAAAGAATGGACACCTATCCGAAACCACTATCTCTGCAAAGGGAGAATGGCCGCAGAAACCTCACAGGTCAATATCGCACCTTAAAGCAGCTTCTAGAGACGGACTTGCTTGTGAAGAGGACTGTGATCTTTGCCATAGCAAACAACATCGCCTACATCATTCTGAGGAGCCAACGCGTCAGACATCGTCAGTCTGAGTACTCGGTCCTTGACCCTGATACCCCTTATGACAACGACAGTAACAACAACTCTATCTCGTTAGGGCAGAGAATAAGGGACGTTTGAAGAGTTCAGTGGAGCAGTTAAAGCGAGATGTAGCTCATGCCCTGCTACTAATTGGCATGTTACTAGACAAGCGGTAGTCAGCTAACGTCGTGCAACAATATCATTAGCCCACTGACTTCTTCATTAACATAATCGAGCTTGATTCGGTGAGTTAATATGCAGAGGTCTTCAGAACACGACCTCATATTTCCCGTATATTTCTTGTAACTATTTATTCACCTGTGACTGCTTTCCAAAATAAAGTAATACGAACACTTTAACGCCATCAGCTCTGAGCGCCATGAATCGATGCTATTTCATTAGTGGAGTGTCCAAGGAAAAAAATTTCACTGCAAAACATTTATAAGGCAATGAGAGAAAAGAACAGCTTAAAACTAATTAAATTCCGGTCTGTCTTAAGCTACTGTGACGGATATTGTTTGTTTCGTTCTTCTTTAATATGGCATATGATGCGGTGTTGACTTTAGTCGCAATACCATAATTGCATAACTTCTAAACGCGAGTTGTGTCTGTAAGTTTCGTCTTTTTTTTCAAAATTCAGTACTCATTTCGCTACTCTTGAATTCTGAAAAATGAATGAACTTTGTTTTGACCGAAAACTTCGACCTTTCGGCTGTCAGCTCACTGAACTACCCTGGCATCACGATGCGATACTGCTTTACTCGCAATAACTCGGTACCTCTGTTCTGACTGCCTGCACTTTTACAAACAAAAAGCGGTCAAGTCAAGGGACCAAGCGGCCGTATCTGTAACCTGACGAATGCTTGATGTGTGACGAAAGAAATGCGTCTATAATATGCACGATATAGTATACGTTGATTATGTGTCAGATCTCGTGAGGCCGACAAAAAGTGGCTTAAAATAAATGAAAATGAAAGTATGCTGAAACGGGGAAAGGTGTGTCAATTTGCTGACAAGAAGTGCAACAGACGGTGACTCGTTATAATTACCGTGGCGCATAAAAATCCGAGTGCGGTAGTTTGAAACGCTGGCTCATTCGGTAAGTAGATTTTCGCCCGTCTGAAGCGAAGGCACTGGCTTCATTAGTTTAATGGATCCCATGTCACAGGGTTGACTCTGCGACAGCCATCTGCTCGCAGATGTAACGCAATTAGCGCCATTAGTACGAGTTTCAATCAGTAAGCAAAGCGTTCGGGTCCGGGATGCGTCCAACGACCGTTTTAACGACCGATGCTGCCTGTTCGAACTTCGGTCGGTGGCTGCAATAACCGTGTCCGGAGGCCAGAAAAAGAGACCGGCATCGGGGCATCGGAAGCCGACCGAACAGCAGCTGTTCCCCTTAGCCTTATTAGCGCCCTCGCCGACGCGTTCGTTCGCACCACTGCCCGGCGACAGTCGCCGACCACCGCTGTATGGCAATGCCAAATGGCCTGCACACGGCCAATGACCGATCCGCCTGAGGGACATAAAGACCTGACCACGAGGCAGCTGCAACGGCGAAGTGCCGGGAGGAGAACCGGGACGCGGTGGCTGCCGAAGCCTGCTACGGGACCAACAAATTAGAACTGTCTTTGGTCGTAGCATTAAATCCAAATAACGCTATTTTCGATTTGCGATGTTTTACGTGCAAGTTCACCTCCAGCTATTAGTTTTCAGCGGTATGAACCAATTTTCTGTAGTATATTTTTTAACGCACATCTGACGCACTCAGCCCATGTCCTGAAATCAAAAGTAGCTAGCTACTATCCATTATAATAGCTAACTTGAATTCAGACTATAATATAGGAGGTGCTGAATTTCGTTCGACG